GCCAAACAGGAAAAGGGGGAAAATAAGACTCCACTGACACTCTGAAACCAGCTCAAAAAATAAGTAAATTCATTGCCTTCAATTCAGTGACCCTGAAGGGCAGGACAGAACTGGCCCCTGTGGGCTTCCGTGAGTGTAACTCTTTACAGGCGCAGAAAGACTCATCTTTCCTCCACGGAGTTGGCTGCTGATTTTGAACTGTCGACCTTTTGGTTAGCAACCCAACTCATGAGCACTACATCATCAGGGCCACTAAACAAGCCCAAACTAGCCTCACTCTGTTGCCGTGACTTGCCTGTTAACGCCTATGTTTCTTGCCTGACATCTGGTTGATGATGGGATGGGAGGAGCTGAGCAGAAAGACCACCATTACTGGGGAAGGAACGGAAGGCAGCAGCCCCATGTCCCGAACACCTTCTAGCCAGCAGAGACCTCCTGGGCCCCATTTCACCGTCTTTTCCTCAAATCCCACCTGGGCAGAGGTAAAGGGGGTAAGGACGTTCAATTCTGACAACTCTGCCCCTTCATGGCGCCAAGAAATACGCAAACACTTTGGCGATGACACCAAGTCTACATCGGAAAGGTAGACCTCTGTCTATGTACCTTACATCCATGTTTAAAGTTTTGTAAAAGCAGAAACCAAATCAGAAAACGGAATTTGGGGCTCAGTCGGCTTCCATTTTGGGTCTGCCCACTGGCTGGGTGTTCGACTTTGGGTCAAGAGATCTGTCTGGCTTGGGTTTCCTTTTCCATCCGACAGACTTGCTATCTGCCTCAGACAGCCATACCGAGGCGTGTGATCGAGGGTCTGGAGGACTTAGTGGTTGGCAAGTGGTGAGAGAGAGCTCCGGCTCGGGACTCAGACTGTCTAAGTACCCCAGCCTTGCTGCTACCTAGCTAGGTACTTTAACAAAGAAACTTGGGGGAGGGAGGGGGACCTGGCTCAGTTTCCTCATCTGTATAATGGGGATTTTTAAAAGTACCTTCCTCATAGGATGTTGCAAAGATTTAGAAATGACACAAGTAAAAAATGCCATCTTTTTCATATCTGTAAAATGTACAGAGCAGGCATCCTCAAGCTACGGCCCACAGGCCACTATGCGGCCTGGGTGTTTTTGCCCCGTTTGCTTTTTAACTTCAAAATAAGATATGTGCAGTGTGCATAGGAATTTGTTCATAGTTTTTTTTAAAACTATAGTCCAGCCCTCCAATGGGTCTGAGGGACAGTGAACTGGCCCCCTGTTTAAAAAGTTTGAGGACCCCTGGTGTAAAGCTTTTGCCTCCATAGACTCACATGAGTCCCACGACTTTTCCACATGGGGCCTTCGACTGGTTCTTGCCTAGATTCTAGACTGTACCACCTTTGAAGGGAGGGAGGAGTGGACACTAATAGCACATAAGTCAGTCCATGTGCAAAACGAACACAGTTGAAAATAAGGCCAATAGCATTCTAGTCTCAACTCCGCCCTGTTTGATTTCCTTCATAAAACGTATCACAATCTGAATGTCTGTTCACCTGTTTATTACCTGTGACTTCCCCCACTGGACTCTGTGGCACGAGAGAACTTGAGGTCACTGAAGATAGGGTGCTATAGCAAAGTGTGGTGAAGAGACTGGATGGTGCCCGCCCATCAGAAAGAATAGCTTGAAGTCTTACAGGTTTGTTTTAAATCAAGCAGCCATTTAAGTGAGGCATCAACTAAGTCAGCTGGTGTGATGCAAGGACTGTAGATAATAAAATTCCAAATTCAAAGGAGGGAATGGCAGCAGTGCTTACATGGTGAACACCTGGTTGGCAGAAGGCTATGGATGACAGTGAAAACGCCAAATCCATTTGCAGGCTCCTCACACGGAGAAGGTTGAAGGATAGCCTCACAATCAGACGGAGCACTGAAAAGCCGACTACGGCCGGTGTAGTTAGGCAACAAACCCCTTAGGAACAATGGGAGTAGTGATACCATGAGGGTAGGGGGAAGGTGGGGGGAAGAAGGAGGAACTGATCACAATGATCAACGTATAACTGCCTTCCCCCCAGGGGGACGGACAACAGAAACGTGGGTGAAGAGAGACAGCGGTCGGTGTAAGATATGAAAATAAAAATTTCTAAATTATCAAGGGTTCATGAGGGAAGGGGAAAAAAATGAAGAACTGACACCAAGGGCTCTGGTAGAAAGAAAATGTTTTGAAAAGGATGGTGGCGACAAACGTATAAATGTGCTTGACAGATGGATGGAGGTATGGATTGTGATAAGAGTTGTTAAGAGCCCCCAATAAAATGATTTTTTTATGTTGCCATCATTATTTTTAAATCATTTTATTGGGGACACATACAACTCTTATCATAATCCATACATCCATCCATTGTGTCAAAGCACATTTATATACATTTATTGCCCTCATCATTTTCAAACATTTTCTTTCTACTTGAGCCCTTGGTATCAGCTCCTCAAAATGATTTTTTTTTAATGTAGTTAGGTTAAAGTTTATCACTTGATCTCTTTTGACCCATTTTAAAGTTGTTTCAGTTTTTAATAGTTTCTGCTTTCTTTTTTATTGATTTTTTTTCTGTTTTACCTCATCACTGCTTTTTTGTTTGTTGGCTTCCAGTTTGTTTTGTATGAAATCCAGGGTGGGTACATCTATAGAGACAGTAACTGGATAATTGTCTAGGGGCATGGCAGGGGAGAATGGCGGAAAATGGGAAGCTAACTACAATGACTATGAGATGAAATTGTTCTGAAATTGATTGTGGTGAAGGTTGCACAAATCTTAATATGTGATTGAACAATTAAATCATATGATATGTGAAGGACTATATACTCACTGGACACAGTGCCTTGCACACAGTAGGTGCTCAT